CTTGCCCTACCAGAAGCATATCGTTTAAGGACACTCCGGATGACGTTTTACACGAGGCGTCGAAGACTACTCTGACCTTGGTGATGGTACTCGCCTTCTTGACCACCGGATGATGGGGAAGATAATACCGTTTGATCGGCTCCTCCGTAGTTTCTTCGACTTTGCGCATGTGTCCCAGTTTCAGGTACTCGTCCATGAATCCGATATATTGTTTCCGTAAGTTGGCGTCCCTTGCCAACCTCCTTTCCGTGAATTACTCAGGTTTGGAAGAACGTCTTCGTTTTTGGGTAGAGGAACAATTTTACGACCTTCTGGACCTCTTTGAACTCCATGTTGAAATAATTCTGTACACTTTTTCTCCTCCAGAGACTAAGCGTCTGTGAATTCCACCTCCTCGCACGACCAGAAACGTGCCATCAACTTTTCCAAGCCCCCGGACGTTGAGAAATGGCAGTTGACTTGTAGGGATAGGAGTTGAATAGCCACCACATACTACCCACCCGAACACCGAGTCTGTAAGACTTGGCAGATGTTTGCCGATTGTAATCCTTCGCCCCGATTCGAAGAATTCGAAGAAAGCCTCAATGCCTAGCACAATGTCGACTTCCTTGGACGGGAATAATGCAGGATCCGCTAGCTCAATTCCGTTCGGTAGAATCCACCCTTCCGTGTTGATTGATGTTGTAGGGAGATTCGCAGTCACGTTGGGTAGCACCAAAAACCTCATTTCTCGCGAGAAATTCGAGATTTGCGAACGTATGACCGGTTGGACTGTATGTTTGACCTTGGTGCCCCCTTGTCCTATACCAAGGACAGAGACGTCGACCTTATTCCTGACTACCTTCATCCTTTGGGTTAACCGTTCCGATACGAAGTTGCTCTCTGAACCGGAATCGAGAAGAGCACGGGCATGGTACCTTGAACCAACGTCGTTCTCGACGATGATTACCGCTGTCGCTAAAAGGACTTGCGACGTGAGTGGATTAGACGTACCGCATACCGAAACGTCAGTGGCTGTCACGTTAGCCACTTGGACTGAATTGGAACCTGAGGAGCCTTCGGATTCTTTGGAATTTGAAGGATGGTTGCCCCCAGCAACGTTACAGTGTTATCCTTCTCCGACTTGTAGCAAACCAGGATGTGATGACGGTTCTTGCAGATCCGACAGGAAAATTTGGATTGGCAATCCTTTGCCTGATGCCCCGATCGAAAGCAATTCCAGCAAAGTCCGTGAGATTCCAGTAGAGAATCCCGCCACAGAAAGTTTAGAATCTTCCTACTGACGATTGAACCGAATTGATCATTTTGTCAAGCTTCTGCATTCATGTTCCATCAGATGTCACAGCTGTTGTTTGCGGTGACATCTATCGGAAACTAGACACAATCTGTTTTCCTATAATTGTTCACAGAGGACACTGCAGTGCAAAACATGTCTGGTACCTCTATATATGCATTTAGATACTTTATGCCCCGCCCCATACATAAAATTCGGCGGGAAATTCTGTGAGGGGTGAGCTATTTTGTGTGCAGAATGTGTAAAAAAGGAGGGACTTCAAATGTTAAAGCAAATGCATACTCTATTTTGTAATCTGTGAAAGGGAAATCACAAATCGAGTGTCAACCAAATACATGGCATGTTTAGAGATTGAGGTCGTGAGAACGACAAAGTCCTTGATTCATTTCTTTAGGTTGTCGTTCACTTTTTTTTTGACCTGAATATGCATCGAAAGCGAATTATTCCCACTTCTCTCAATTTATATATGGGGATTTTTATCACTTCCTACCAGCGGAACAGTGCCATCTCTGTGGAAAATGGTCGAACAAAATGATTAATTGTAGCTTGCCTTGATTGCTGAAGCTTTCAGTTTCGGTGGTGGTTGTTGCTGATGGACGATCTTGGTATCCGTCGGCCTAGACGGAAGGGATTCCAGTACTTGCATTCGCTGATGCAGAAATTCGGTGAGGTCTGTCAGTGAATCCATTTCCGTTTTGGCCGAATATTCTTCCCATGCTCAACGAGTTCATGGATCCAGTCGCATCGTGAGCAGATTCACCAATAGGAGATCCTTGTACTCAACAGGTTCCACGATTTGATCAAGCGTTTGGACGACTCGGTGAAAACCTTCCACCAGAGTACGCAACTCAACAACAGATTCCTTGGAGAGAGTCGGAAGCTTGAAGAAAGATTGGACCAGCTTCTTCTTCAACAGCTTGTTGTAGTTGTACCTCTTTACCAGAGTATCCCAAGCTATCTGGTAATTCGTATTGGTAATTTTCAGTGGATCGATTAGGCTTTTCGGTTCACCTTGAAGACACCCTATAAAATAAAGAAATTTCTCCACCTCTGGTAAATCAGTCCTCCAGTGGATTAGCAAGGTGAACAGGTCTCGGAAGCTTAACCAGTCATCGATGTCACCGTTGAATGATTGGAGTTTGATCTGCGGTAACCGGACATGACCGACAACACCTGACATTGATTGTTCATGGGCGGACTGTTCCAACTCAGAAGAAACGCGAAGGGCCTTGCTTTTGTCCAACAGGAAGGTTTTGGCTTCATAATAGCGATCGATCAAGTGCTTGCGTAGCTTACCATAATAATTCTCCTCATCCTCGAAGTCTTCATGAGATTTTAGTTCGACCAAATTCTCACTAAATCTCTCCCACCAATCATCGATCCGTTCTAATCGAACTTTGACTTGAGTACCGGTGGTTTTATCAGAAAACTTCTGAATGAAAGACCAAATGTCATCGAACGAGGATTTCAAATCGTCCAATTGAACCCTCAGTTGCTTCAGGGATGACGGGTGGTGGGTGGCATTTTGATGTGATATCAAACAATCGGTAAAGAATTTGAAGGTGTAGTATTCCGCGTATAGACTTCGCTTCAGCGGACATATACTGCTCGCTATTACTGACCTGACAGAACAGGTTACTTTTCTATTATGAATCCAAATTCGAACCAAAAGTAGCAAAAGGTTCGATGACGTCACATCAATCTTGCCTCGGTAGGGATCACCCAATTTTAGGTTAAAGTTCACAGAAGAGGGGAAAACGGGGTGTAATATCCAGAGAAACCCAAGCCTCGGCTGGGCATATACTGTGGCAACCTACCTGGAGGTACCAACAGCAGTACCAATCAAAAATTATCAAAATTCCACACCAAATTGGTATAAACGTTGCCTTGATCACGGACAATGTAAACTCCAGAACGTGTGTGTGCAGGATGTAGTGCGAAGAGGAATAATGGCTATGTAGCAATCGTATGACTAGCTTCGGTAGGACATATACCGTGTAACTAAACTGGAGGACTAACAGCTTCACCAACCAGAACAAAAAACCAGTCGAGGATGCAAATTGGGGTTTATCAGCAGACTTGCTCTAACGAGCAGTTCAATTGCAAGGCCTGCGTGGTGTTAATTGAAGAGGATGTACGGGATTTCAATTAACATTGTGTATTTCTGTATAGCCTAGCTCGGCAGTAACATCCCAAGTAACAATTTTGGTTTTATGAAGGTTCTGTAGGCCATGATTTAGACTTGTAGAATGCTATAAAACCGCGATAAAACCAGCAATGTTACTTGGGATATACAAAGAGTTCACTCACCCGGGAGGGAATAAATGGCGGCTCCCTCTTCTGCCACTGTCCACAGCAATCGTTCTTCAAAGCGACAGCCAGGGTTGACGACTTATGCGGGATGCACAATCGTTCTTTTGCTAAACCATCCGTTGATAATCAGCTTGATTACCATCCTCAGTTTTCTGGGGGTCTTACTACAACAACTTTTATGAAGGTACGAATTGGGTTGATCATCTCTCTTTACCAAACTCCCCAGTTGGACAGGGATGTTGAGGGGTATCCCTCCCTCCCCTACTGGCAAAAAGAGATGATCGCCTATGAGCAAATCTGGAAAGCCGATCAAATTTTTACGTTGCCTATGATTATTCAAAGATCGGCTTAAATATAATGAAAATCGAAGAAATTTGTACTCAATCTATGAGTATGCTCATACAATTTTCATCGACTTTCTTGATATTCGAGTCAATTTTTGGAGGAAAATAGAGGAAAATTTTACTCATACTGAGTAACTCCACTTTTCGCAATTTTGAGTTGAGTTCGAATGAATTTGGAGTTATTGTATATCTGTTGCTTTCTGTCCATGGAAGTATAACAGTTCCATCTGAATAAAAGCAAGCCGAGAAAAACGCTGATATTTTTCCGTGGGCTCTTGTGGGTGAGACTACCCTTTTGCACGATATTTTTTAAATAAAACACGTAGGGACACACTAGTGCTCAATGTAAAACACAGGTGGTTTTCAAACGATTCCAATTTTCTAGTAAATGCCATATTTATCGAACATTATGTAATTGCGGTAGTTTTATGTAATTGTGGAAAACAAATGTTGACAGAAGAATAATTGAACGCGGACCTTACAAACACCTCCCACACATTACTTATGGTTACTGGGAATGGTTAAATACATATGATTTATAACTCATGCCCCTGGGAATCCTAGAAACTTATCATTGGGTAAGGTCCTCAAAGATTGTTGACCGATTTTAGACGAACAAAAGTTGCACTACCACAATTCTGGATTAGTTAATTCATCTGAATTTCCAATTATTCATTTTCATGTTGTGAGATTACACGCTTTGATGATTTTACATTGAGGGGTTTTAAATTATGCCAGAAACATAAAATCATTCAATTGATGGACGCCCATCAGATGCTAATTCAGATGCTTCTGACAAATTTCCGGAAATTTCCCCCAATGATTGAGCATCTCGCCCGCAGCAAACCGTCGTGAAACCAAGCAGCACTAAATGCCATATGCAAGCCAATTTCCCATCATAATCGCAGTCAACTAAGCTCATTGGCAGTCAGATGATGCATAAACTCATCACTTCAAATAGCCACTGCCTCCGACTACACCAACAAGTTGAATTACAACAGATCGTTCGATGCTCATCTCTGTTTCTTTTTGAAATTTTATCCTTGCAGTTCCTCCGACGAATCCCCGCTGGCCTCAGTGTACCGAATCAGCTACATGTGGTACTCGCTCCTGGGAACTTTCCTGACTGTGTTCTTCGGTTTCGTCATCTCCCTGATGACGGGGGGTGCCAACCTTTGTGGAGGCAAGCATACTGCGGATCTGCTGCCAACACTTCGGAACTCATTCAAACAGGATGAAAGCTGCAACGGATACAAGCACTCGAAGAAGGGTGATGAGGAAGGGGGAAGAAAATCAATTACGAGAGATGGCTCTATCCGAATCCAGGTTGGAGCACCGATGACGATGATGATGAAAACCAGTGTCTCCGGCAAGAAATCAATGAAGGCAAAGGGAAGCATTCCTGATGAAGGTAACATATTCGCAACCGAAGGATATCGCAATCAAGCCACCCCGGTAAGTCCCGGCAGCCTGGCGTTGGAGGTGGAACGTGGAAAGTTTTAATTATGGATTTTAGCAGCTTGTCTCTTTGCTTGCCACGGGTGGTTCGTGCCCCTTGGGGAGATTATTTTGGAATCCTGTGTGAGGAATGTAACCTGGAGAGCTTTCCGATCGGTTGCGATTATAAATTATTAAAAACTTGTTTAGGTTACTGGAAAAAGATACATTTAGTTTTGTAACAAAAGCTCATACAATTTTCACCATTTGATATCAAGCGAGGGAGAGAAAGCGAGAGAGAGGTTATCAATCGAGAAATTCACATTTCTGTTTGATTTCTCTTGGTTGAGGCCGACTAACGAGTATCTATCGTACTAGACTTCCCCATATTTCTTTTCACATATCCATAAGGCATTGACTATATTAGGCTTGATAGGCCAATGGATGAATTTATACACGGAAGCAATATAAAGTACAAATATAGGACTAGATGGCTCCTGTTTTCCACAGTAGAATGGTGAAAGAGAGAATGCATTTGCTAATTACTGGAATGATGAGTTTTTAATTGACAGGAAATTGTACCTTGAGATTGTTGGTTATTTCAGCAATTTCATTCCATCTCGGAATCGATCGTTCGCATATTTATTGACGATAGGATAATTTTATTAGGATCTTAATTTATCGAAGCGAAATTTGATACTACCATATAAAGTATAATAAATCCATGCAAATAGCAACGTTCCAGCGTTTTCACATCGAAAGAAAATCCTTTACGCGTTTTCCAGGACCTTCAGTGCGCTCTCAATTCAAGTAGCAGTGCTCTTCACTCCTCAGATACATAGCAACGGATTTAAATTTATTGTAACAATAAAAGTCTATCAATGGCATCGGCAACGTAGCAGGCCGGGCATGCAGGCGAACACTTTTAAAACTTCCAATTAAAACTCGATATTCTCGAGGGGATGGGCACTTTTGAATCGCAACGGGGGACGTTTTTCTAGTATCAAGGGAGCACTTAATTTAAACATGGAAATTGAACATCATAAATAACAGCAATCATCGCCCATAACGACAAAAGCCCTGCATAGCGCTATGCTCGTACGAACGGATGAACGGTCGGACGGATGGATGGAGAGGCTCTTTGCTGCTTCCATTTATTGCATTCAAGTACCCTTCGGATTCTGTCGGTGCCATTCCCGGGATGTGTGCATGATGATGATGATGATGATGATGGTGGTGGTGGTGGTGGTAGTGGTGGTGGTGGTGGTGGTAGTGATGGGGATGGTACCTCACCGGGTTCGGTAGTAATTCACCGGGCGAAACAATATTCTCGGATACTTCCATTCTCACTCACTCGTCATCCGGTTTCCCATTAGCCAGTCTCCCACTCATCCTTGTTAACAGCTAAACGGGTAGGTTCCGTTGTAGTCACGAATGTTCCAGAGTGGACGAGAAATGAACTTTCGCTCAAAGTGGTACACTCTTGTGTGTATTAATTGAGACAACTGCAATTTTCTCAATATTCCATGTGATTTACAGTTGGGTTTTCATATCTCGATTTTTTATAAAACGATAACTTGTGGAGTAGAGATTGACAGTAGAGGTATAAACAGTATCAGGTTTCGGCTTATCGGTCAAACACTCTAATTTAGAACGACAACCTGATGAAGACACCAACAAGTGCTGATTATAGATTATTTGACTGATAAGCTGAAATCTGATGCAACGATATTTTCTCCAAATCGATGGTAGGTGCTCTTAATAAGACGATATTTCTACAAGTAGAAACATTTTTTGCTCGATGTATTGTGTAGTGTGCTTTTGATTCCATATTTCAATCAGTTAGGGTTAACTACCCCATTTCCGGCCTATTAAGCACAACCCGCACTTACTCTGTTTTAATCTAGCGCAGTTTAGCTCCAAACGGAATGTTATTATTACTGATGGCTTCCAAATTCCAAAGGAAAAGGTAAATATTTCCTTACGTACCGTAAGATTTGATAAAGAGAAACCAATCGTTGAGAAAGTTGACGCTAAACTCGGCATACGGATTCTAAACTCAGCCTAACGCATTGAAACGCTATTGAAACGGCAATGAATTCACTTCGGCCTATCGGATGAAGATAAAAATTGATTCGATCGGAGTGCTTCTTTTGTTTTTGGGAATAATGGGTGCAAAAAATCATACCACGCGTTCTCATTGTCTTCGTTTGGTAGTTTATTAACTAAAGTATCGTACCAAACGCATAATTGACTTGTTAACTCTGAAATCATGGATTTATTTGAAGATTTCTGCTCGATAGGCCCAAAATGGGCGATTAGGCCGAAGTAGTTCTCTACCCTACTTCTGCATTGTTGTAAACGGGCCTGGTAAAGTAGTTTCCGAGCATAGTCCTCAGAAGGAAATTAACTTGAAAATTAAATTTTATGTTGTAACTGTATAATATTACTCATGTCACTCTCGTATAGGTCATTTTAATATGTAAAACAACAAAATTGAGAGCAAAGCATTATTCAGCAGTTAGTTAGTTAGTTAGTTAGTTATCTTCATTAAGGAGACTTTCAGCCGAACGCTGGTTCGTCTCCGGTGCATTCTTGTGCAAAATGAATTGTTTTTTAGATATGAGTGAGAGCAAAAATCACAAATCATGATCGAAAAGTACAAAAAAATCTTACTAATCCTAAACTGAAATCAAATGATGCTTTCAATTTGACATTGAATGCAAAACATGTTTCCCTTTTGAGTTAATTTTGATGCCCGGCTTTGTTCGGGATGATTGATTTTTTTTACAAAGGTGAAGTTCCTTTTGGGACGTGTCTTATGAGATTATTCTAGAGGAAGGACAAGTCCTGAGATAAACACAAAGCTGTATTAGTGTGTGTGGAGACAGAACAAAAAAATTATGAATGAACGTTGAATGAATTTTATTCTATGACTAAGAGTGTGAATGAACCCAAAATGCATGAGTGAATGTGAATGGGGCATACGTGATACCAGTATGTATTGTATAATGGTATTTTTACAGTTTGTACCGTTCTGATTCATATTACGAACACGCTCAAATTCTGAGCACTTGTGTTTTTGTATGGGACGGATTTTGAAAAATTTTCTTTTAGGATGTCCATATTACGATAAGTCGTGAGTTTAAATACATTCTGAGCGGATCAGCAATATTTTAGGTAAAAAAGGTGTTTTTCAAAGGATGATTTTAACGCACTGTTCGGAATTTGAATCAATACGGTAAATCGCGCGATGATCGAGACGTTTCCGTCGGATAAGATTATTTTGCGGCCGAGTGTCTAGGAAGCTATGGAAACCGAAATGGCTCTTGATTTTGTTTTATGCCCTTATAGTATAAACCACCATCGCACTTCGTGAGTTGCCCCAATAGAACCCTTGCTTTTGGTTTGAATCAGTACAAATTCGTTCTATTATATAAAAAAAAAGAAGTATACATATTCATTTTCTTCCGAACTAAATAAACCACCATCACACTTTGTGAGTGGCCCCAACAGCATCCTTGCTGTTGGTTTAAATCGGTTCAAACCGCTTATAATTAATTATTTTGGTCATTGATAAAATAAAATAAACCATCATCACACTTTGTGAGTGGCCCCAACAGTATCCTTATTGTTGGTTTAAATCGGTATACACACATCTAATAATGATCTACATCTCTAGACAGCCGGCTGTTTAGAGCATAAATCGAAAACACTTATAAATAACTACACAAAACAAAAGATCGCATCACTTATCAAGGTGAATCCTGATCCAACGAACCTAACCCACTAACAAAACCTCCTTCCTGTGACTTTTGTGGGATGCAGAGGTAAACACGGTCCCAAAACAACAAAAGTCACACACTAACATTCCTTCCCTCTCCCACCTGATTGCAAGGACGTGGCCGGTGACGTTATTGATCTTTAAAGGTAGGAGTCACTGGAACATGTACACTGAGAATGGCAGGTTACTCCCAAGCCCCATTCAGTTGATTCTTTGTACAATTTCACTGGTTCAGATCAATCACGGAGTGCAACTATCGATACGTGCAGTCAGACTAAGCTAAGCTAAGCTAAACTAAATTGGAATGCTCGATCTCTTAAAGATAATGAAGACGAGCTATTTAACTTTTTGAGAGTTCATAACGTGCATATTGCCGTTATAACTGAAACGTTCCTTAAACCTGACCATAAGGTTAAGAAGGACGCCAATTACTTGATTTATAGAAATGATCGTCTTGATGGACCCTGTGGTGGCGTTGAAAACGGAAGTAAATTTATTTTTAAAATATTTCGTAATAAGTACATGATCCCTAAGGCGCGGTACAGTAATTACGTAACGGTTATTTATTTATTTATTTATTTATTTATTTCATCAACCGAAATAGACTAGTACAAATACATATACAAATTTGTTTTTCTTAAGAATATTAATTGAAAATTGTCTGCTTTCCTATTGTTCTTCCTATAAGTTATGATTCCGTATGGAGTTAAAATATTGTTTTAGTTTATGCCAAGACATTGAAAAGTAAATAGTTTCGCAGTAAGGCTTGTAAGACGCCATCATGCGATTTAATGGCCCAAATTTTACATAATTTGTGCGATGATGGGTTATTGCAAATAAATTTCGATTCCTGAGTGGTCGAGTAGGTGCATAAAAATTTAATTTTGATAAAAGTTCTACTGAGTTAATGCGCTGCGAAACGATATCGTTTACAAACGAAACCATTGCATATTCACGTTGCTCTTTTAATGTTTATAAGCATGCAGCATGTTTCATATGATGGAAGAGGAAATGATGTCCAACCAAATTTACGAAGGGCATATAAAAGAAATTGCTTTTGTACTAATTCTAATCTTCCTTCGTGCGTAATTGAAAATGGAGACCATACAATGCTGCAATATTCCAGTGTTTACCTCACATAGGCAATATACAGTGTTTTAATTGTGTATGGGTCCTGAAAGTTAAAGCAAATGCCCTTGATAAAGCCTAGCATGTTATTTGCCCTGTGAATAGCAATCCCTAAATCCCAAACTCTTTCACATGTTTCTACATTCTGATTTCCTAATGCAATTTAAATGTATGATGGTATTATTTTCTACTAAATGATATTAAGTTGCATTTTTTTACATTCAGTTCTAATAGGCTTTTTTTACACCATGGGTAGATTATGTGTATTTCACTCTGGAATGTATTGATGTCTTCATCATTTCTTATTTCCAAAAAGAGATTCATTTAAATTAAATTCAAAGAATTTAATTATTTGTTGGCGATTAGTTAAATTTGATTCAAGTCATTTTAGGAGTCCTGGCTCAATTCCATTTTTCATTCCATTGTTGCATGTCAGTAATTCAATTTTTGGTTTGAAGAAATAATTTTTCATTTACAATTGCCTCGATAAGCTTAAGAATGCAAGAGATAATGGCTATTCCACGATAATAACGTACGTTAGCTTCCCGGCCAGATTTGAAAATAGGTTCTAAATATGAGCTTTTCCATATTTTTGCAAAGGTTCCAAATTCCAGTGACATATTAAAAAGCCAAGACAATGAAGTAGTGAGTTCCACTGATGGACTTTTTAAAAATACTGGAGGAATTCCGTCAAGTTCAGGACCTTTTCAGGCGTCTAAATTCTTAAAAGGCTGCGAAATATCCTGCACTTGAAGTTGATTGACGCCAATGTCCCTTGAAAATTCTGGATAAAATGAAAAGAAAAAACGCGGTCGTGATCT